CTAAGCATCTCACCAAAATGAACGACCTATGTTAATTGGCAAAAAAAATATTTTTAAAGTTGTGTTTTCAATTTTTTCTTTTTTGTGATTGTTCATTAGAATGAACAGAGTGTATATTTCAAATTTTGGATCAAACAAATGGCTATAAATGGGACAAGCAAAATTTGGATCAAACATATAACTTATGCAGTGGGGATTGCTAGTCGAAACATGACCAATCCTGGTTTAGCATTGGCAACTAGTTAAGAGATTATTTAGATACCTAAATGGGATACATGATTATGGTTTATGTTATGGTACTAAGGATCTAATCCTTGAGGGATATAATGATGCTAATTTAGGAGGTGAAATTGATGAATATAGATCAACATCTAGATGGTTATTTACCTTAGTGGGACATGTGTCTCATAATATTGAATCCAAAATCCATATAATTGTTCACAGCATCTCCAATTTATTCCAGGCAGTTGAAATTCTGACTCACTATTTGGGACTGCTCATAAATGAGCAGAATTTCACACAAATTTTTCAGTTTTATCTAGCTGTGAGCTAGCAGCTAAGCCTTCACTTACAGATGGGACATAGAGCTCAAGAATCTACCCTTTAACATCAGCTAGTTGGTAATATTATCAGCATGACTGTTACTTGTCTAAATGCTGTTATGATGTTAACATTACCAGTCAGTTTATATTTGCTTCCCGACATGTCATAGTGCAGTAGTTCATAGGACTGACTATTCATTATTATCATTTGGCATAACGCCATTGTTCCCTTATGACATAAACTGACCTCTCACGTTCAGCTTAGTTGCTTATTCAGATTGTAACAATAGTCTACTACAAGTACAATCTTTCTTATTTTTTCCCCTCTTTTTGATAAATTTGCTAATTGTGGCTTTCTTGATGTATGTTATTTCTTGGATGATTAGTAAAGAGCACATTGTTCCTAATTCTAGTATCAAGATAGAGTACAGGTGATGCCTTCTGTGACTACTGAAATTACTCGGCTTCAGTCTATTCTTCAGGATATAAGTGTACATTTGACTCCTCCCTTAGCCATTCATCACGACAACCCCAGCGCTACATTGGTTGCTCACAATCCAATGTTAGAACAGACCAAGCAAATAAAGGTTGACTGCCATTTTGTTTGGAAGAAGCTTTCAAGCTTAAACATGGATACAATACCCCATGTTTACTTAAACGATGTTTGCTTGAACGATCAGACCATAGATTTGTTCGCAAAGGCCATGACCTTCAAGCACCATCAATTTCTCATTGAGAGACTCTTCGCTACTGACACTCAGCAGAGTTAGAAGGTGCGAATAAGATTCTGCACTAGATCATCTATATGAATGTGCATTATTTAAAGCATAGGAGTAGGTTCCTTGTATCATTTGATCCAAAAATCACATGTACATAACCAAAGGCTGACGTTATCCAATTAATGAGAATCATTTCATTCTCTCAAAAATATCAGACTTGATACTTTGAAAAGTTTGAAGCAATTAGATATAATTTTAAGTTTATTTGTAAAGACATAACTATAAGAATTTGTTGATACCTCGATGCATGATGAAACTAAAGTTTTTAATCGCTAATATAACTCTTTGACAATGTATGGAAATTTTCAAAACTACCATTAGAAAAAAAAAGAAAACAAACAAATGATTAAGAAAATTACAAACCATGAGATGAATTGCATAGCTAACACCAGGGTTCTATCTGAAAAAACAATACTCTGACAAATACGATATTAGATCAACAAATATTATTTCTAACTTTTTAGATCAAGAAATGCATTGGGAAAAGAGTATCTAATATATTTCAAAAACTTATCCAAAATAGAATAGATCAAGAAATTATTCAAAATAGAATAGCGAGACTAAGAAGATATACCACCTAGCTCTAAGATGGTATTGCGGGACGTTCGCAATGAAGACAAAGGCATCTTTCCCAAATACTTTTTTGCACTCCTAAAGTATCCCTGAGTATGAGAACACCAACAAATCAGTTTGACACTTCAAGGGGAAAACTACAAGCACAAAATTATTTCCAAACATATCTTACATTTTTTTTTCTTGGCAGGCTAAGAATATCTTACATTATATTTTTTGATAAATGGGTTCAACTTCTCTAATAGACTATTGATGGTGTAATCTGACCATGGGTTCATGCTCTTTATCTTTTCCCGCTCAATACATGCATCTGTTTTAGCCTGTAACACAAGAAGGAAAAGATGGTATGTTTGGAAATAACTCAAAAGTCTCATAATAAAACAGTGTTTACGTCAACACGAATGAAAGCACCATCAAAAGGCACATTTGGTCAACATTTATATATATATATCAATGTTCAAACAATCGACTCAGCCAAGGTACTGAGACCCTGGCCGAACCAAGTTACTTGGCAGAGTTCGAATAACTCGTGCGAGTTCATGCTAAAAAAATAGGAATAATGAAAGTAAATAAAGTTCATATATAATAACATACCTTGACATGATGGAAGTATGCAAGTATCATACTGGTAAGTTGTCAGGTTCCCTTTACAAGAGGTCCAACCCTCAATTTTTGACCCCCTTGCAAAGTGTTGCCTTTTTTAATAAAGTAAAAGAGATTTATTTTTCTAAAAAAAATGTAGATCGTGCGTGGGAGGCTTTGAACTCAAGACGTTAGGTAGCCGCAGCATGTATAATAGCCAAAAAAATTTATTTTTCTAATAAAAAATGTAGATCGTGCATGGGAGGCTTTGAACTCAGGACGTAAGGTAGCCACAACATGTATAATAGCCAAAAACCGCTGAGGCACTGTGCAAATGAGCTAACAAATAACCATATATATAGAATATCGGTACAGGGCACTCGGCCTCGCCCATAAGCCAAGGCCGAGTAACTCGACCGTGTCCGAGCCACCTCGACCAAGTCCAAAAATGTTGACATATATATATATATAGGAAAACACTACAAAACACCTATAGGTGAAGTTCTGCAGTACTTTACCTACGGCTTTATCACCGTCCAAAGTTCATCACACAACCACAAATATTTGATAGTATTTGAATTTTAATATTTGTTTTACAAATCATATTGATCTGAAATTTTGTAAGTGTGTGCGGCTTAGTGAGACGCACCTGTATAAAATATAAAACAAATAATTTGGATGATAAAAATAACCTAAAATACCCCTATAAATTTTCAGGGGCATTTTTGTTACTTTATTTTATAAATATTAGTTTTTTAATATTTATTTTGGTGCTACTTGGCCATATGTACATACGCCCCAAATTTTAGATAAATCTGATTTGTACAATAATTATTAAAATTCATTACTACCAGACAACCGTGACCGTGTAATGAACTTTGGACGATGATGAGGTGTAGGTGAAGTATTGTAGAACTTCACCTATAGGCATTTTGTAGTGTTTTCCATATATATATGCCGAATCCAAAAACGCTGATATATATATATATCAAAACCAATTATAGCATAACACAAGTAGAATCAATGTATCATGAAAAATCTTCATAAGAACATCAAAAGCAGGATGTCGATTAAATGCTAAAAATGCATGTATTTCATTATTGCGTGCACAATATAACGACGAAATGTACAAACAGCACAATGCCATCATTTATTGATAATATATATCACGCTGTATAATACTTTAAGATATTTTAAATATTTCATATACTAATAGTTCTATACAAATGGTTTAATCCAGCATTCACATTAATCTGCTGAATTTTATTTCTCCATTGCAGAAGTATAAAATTTGTAGAAGTATTGGTATTAGTATTTCTCCATTTTTAAAGCCTTTATTAGCAGTATTGATATATAAAAAGGTAATTTTCTACATAAATAAGGATAAATACTACAAGGAAAATCAATTTTACATGAAATTTGTAAATAAATAAAAATAAACATCATAATTGCCTCTATTCTGAGAATAAAATGAATTGAAACAACATTATTTCTAATTTTCAAACAATACAATCCTCAGCATATATCACGACAATGAGATACCTTTAAAGTGAGGAAGTTGTTACATAGATATATCTTCCTTTAGCTCATCTACCATCTACAACTCACGAAGCAGTAAATGTTACTGAAATCTGTTCATTCCAATGTCTTGAACGGCTGTTATCTTGGCTACAAAAATTAATTGGTGCAAATTTCTCATTATTTACCTATTGTGGCCCACTGATCACATTCAAGAATGTCAAGAAGTAGAAATGGGTTTCACTTTAGCATTGTACAGCAGGTGCTGTTATTCCACAAAGAAAGAAAATCCTCGAGGACAATGGAATTGGAGGAGAAAAGGAGGGAAACATAGAAAGGTGTATATGGCCCTCAAACAAAGCCTAGGGTCCGACCAGGCATTGAGATTATCTTCAGCAACTACCTAGATGATGGACATCTGATATAATGGACTCGCCCTTTATGCTCGATGAAGTTTGTAGTAGCAACATTCAATACACCTATTCACCAAAATAGAAAAATGCAGCTAACTCATGCTATTTTCAGCTTAAGGTTGACACCTTTGCAACTTCAACTTTTATTTGTAAGATGCCTTCTCCCTTTGACATTGTTATGCTTATACCCAATCTTTTAATAACTTAAGTAGGTGCCTTTGTCACATATATTTGTTGTCAAAACCAGTGTTTATCGGACAATAATGACATATTGTTATGATCCATGTTTCTCATTATCATTTACTATTGTGGCCCACGCTGTTCATCCTAACCTTTCTGAATCTCAATGCTTCAGAACTCAGTAAGTTACAAGTTGACCAGGAATTTTTTCCAAACTAACAAGTTGTAATATGTGCTTGATAGCTATATATATCGGAAGATGGATCATCTTGAGGGACCATTAGAAACTCCCAAAGAGTGCAAACACATTTTGCTCAAGCAATCCATACTAAAAGGCAATTCCGGCAGCCATAACCATAGCTTTTGTCTCGAGTGAATGAACCCAAGGACATTTAGCCTGTCAGATAAATTGAGGGAAGTTTGTATGCAAGCATGTTGGCTTCAGTTCATAAGCTACCATTTTCCGAATAAGGGAACGTTTCTTCTTCCCCTTCTTGTTTTTGACAACTATCTTGTCCTATTCATAAGAATATCATTTCCTGGATTCAATTGAAACCGATATTCTTCGGAGATCATCCCAAATCAATAAGCCTAATTCATCAGCATGAGACCATTTGCAGCACAACTAATGGGCAAAATCCAAATTGATACCTTCAATAGAATTACATGTTAAAGAACAAGAAAGAAATGACTTATCCAAACAGTAGGAATTGAGTTACCTTATCAAGCCCTGAAAATTGGGTAACTTCAGCCATTCTACAGAGGAAGGAAGTGTACGCCTTCTTCAGTGACTCGAATGGCATAGCTTTCCTATTACACAGTACATTCTAGCTTTGTAAGAGACAACAAACAAAAACATGTCCATTTTTTTCCCCTTAACTCATAGAGGGAAGAAGCAAGTACAACCCGGAAAGTTGGGAATAATGACCTGGAAATTCCCAGCTCATAAATAGCATCAGCTTCTGAAGGCTTGCCCTTTGCTTCCAAATATACAGCATAGGCCTCATAAAGAAGAGAATGAGTAAGCCCAATCTTTTTCTCCTCCATCTCTTTGAAAACCTCTTCAAACTTCTCAGAAATGTCGGCCTAGAGAAAGAACAAGAAAGACGCAAAAGAACATACTTTCATCAAAAACCTTTCCGAAACGATAATATGTTACATTGAGGAAAAACTTGAACAGGATGAGCTTTACATACTATTAGATGGATAAAAAATTGAAACGGTCAGAAGAGGGAGTCTACAACTTTAACAGAATAAAAAGAGAAATGAATTTACGAAAACAAGGTGAGAAAGAAAAAGAAAAGCAGAGGAGAGAGATGAGAGAGTTTAGGGATTACATAAAGAATCCAAACTTTCAAGAATCTGGGGTCAGTCCGGTACCGATCTTCGGTTTCAAAGGACTTTGTACAGTCCTCCAACAGTTCCAACAGAGGACCTGAACTAGATTTGCGGTCACGAGAAAAATCTCCGAGAGCTCCCTTAATTTTACTGAAATAGTGTTCATAAAAACCCAAATTGAGTTCAAATACACAAATACGCTTGCACTAAGATGGAAAATCAAAAGTATTGACACCAAAAAGATGAAAAATAGAGAGAGAGACCAGAGCGATGGAAAGAGAGGATCATCAGCATTGTAGTGTGGTGATGGAATCATGGCCACTTTGCAGGAATTCAAATGTGGGAGTGGAGGGGATGGTCCATTTTGTAGAGAGATGAAGTTGCTTTAAAAAAAAAATGGATAAAATAATGGAGTAGAAAAGACGCATTCGAAAGTTCGAATTAGTAAATTGAGAGGGAAAACCACCGACGCAATGAACGCGCAGAGCACGTACTATCAAAAAATTCGAATGTGTCCCCAACACTTCGAAGACCTGACCACTTACCCTTTTGGATCATAGGATGGGGTGTGTCGTGATACTAAATTAGTGGACGTCCACCAACCTTCACATGAAATTTTAAAATAAAAAGTTTATTTCGTTAAATTGATCATCTCGACAGAATGAACGTGAGAAAAAAATGGACTTTAAGTTTTGGAAATAGTGCATCATGTAATGTATATTTGGACCGTTAATTTTCAAAATTTTCAAGTTTTCATAGATTTGTTCTATCTACACTCTTTTTTAAGCTTTAAATTTTATAATTAAATATAAAATATGTTTTGCTACCGCAAAGATTTTCAGTATTAAAACCATATTTCTCGATACTATTTGAAGGTAGGCTTCACTTTGATTGTTTAGAGCCTCAGCTCTATACAAACTGTACCTAATTTTAAACTATTTAAAATACCGAAAAGTTTATATGAGGTTGCAACCTGTAGAATTCAGATGCACCTCAAAAATCTATCGAAAAAATTGTTTTAATATTGGAAAACCCTCTATTTGATCATCTCGACATCTAGATGTATGAATATAAAAAAAAAATTGAGTCTCAAAAATAATGCTTCTTGCAACACATTATCTAGACGATCCATATTCAAGATTTTCATATGTTTATAGATCTCCTTGATCTTAACCATTTTTGGAGTTTAAAATTTTCTAATTAGATATGAAAATAGATTTTAAGATAATCCTAAGACTTTTTTACAACAAAATTACATGTTATGATAAAATTTGAAGGTGAACCTTAATTGGATTGTTTAAGGTTGCAACCTTATAGAAATCGCACCCTTTAAAATAAGAAAAAGTATACAATTAGTCCATTTACCTTTACGGTGTGTTTGATTTTCTCAAAGATTTATTTACAATTTTGTAAAAGTTCTGCGTTTGATGCGCATTTGACGCGTCATAACTTCTATTTCTTTCTTTAAAATATCTTCCAATGAAGTTTCTATTTATCCTTTACAAGGTGAAAGTTTAAGTTTCTGGAGTGAGGGTAGGAACTTAAACTGTCATAATATTTTCGTCTTTTAGTACGCCTGATGATTGCAATTCATTATTCACTATTTACAATATAATATATTATATAATATTTTATTTATATATTTGATATATAAATCATATTTCAATACTATATAATATTAATAAACAAATAAAAATTTATATAAATAATATAATATTTTATATTATACTATATTATAAGTCTGAAAAGATATGGGGACTTATGACCTCACTAAAGATATAGATTTTAATAGAGTATAATGGATAACTAAGATTCATGTAGTTGATCCCAATTAATTGAGAAAATACTAAAACGATAATGATGATTATACTATATTATCTAATATTAGATAATATATGCATAATATAAATACATAATACTCATATTATTAATATGATAAAATATAACATAATATAAATATACATTAATAATATATATATAATACATTATATTATATATTTATATTGTTAATATATATTTTTTATCAAACACAGTATCCAAAACTTTCTTAACATTCGAATAGGTTATCAGACAGCGTATCCAGAACTTACTTAAACCTTCCAGAACAAAACATTCTACTTCCAGAAGAAATAGAAAAGTTTTTCTTTCTGAAAGATTTTCTTTCAACCAAACAAGCGCGCCCTTAGCATAAGGATGTAAAATCAGATTGTTACATTTATTCTATTAACCAAGCTCAAAGTTCAACAGAAATTCTTTCGAAGTATATGACACACCCAAGCTATCAGATTACATACCAAATGATTATAAGTAATTGTAACTTTCTTGAATCAAAAGTAAATGGTTTCATTGTATGCAGTTAATGTAAATAATTTTTTGTTTTTGAGATATTTAAAAAAGAAAAAAGTTTATATAGAGCTGAGGCTCTAAACAATCAAATTAGAGCCTACCTCAGAAATCACAAACTCTGATATTTACGTCTCTCTTCTTCAGTATGCGGATGACACATTAACCTTTATTGATGCCGAAACTTCACAAGTGAGGAATGTTACGAGATTTTTAGAGATTTGTAAAGTGACTTTAGGACTTAAGGTTAAGTTCCATAAGTCTTCTATGTTGGGGATCAACTGTAGTGAGACTACCGTGAGTGAGTTGGCCATGGTGATGGGATGTAGAGTGGACTCGTTCCCTATTACTTATTTAGGCCTTCCAATTTCAGACTCAAAATTCCCCATTTCAATATGGGATAGGGTACTTGAGAGAATTTAAGTCAAGCTTGACCTTTGGAAACACAAGTACCTATCTATAGGGGGAAGGGTGACTTCTTAGATCATAATCTACTTGTGTACCAAATGTCCCTAATTCACATGTCAGCTTTGATTGCAAAGAGAATTGAGAAGATGATGAGAGATTTCCTTTGGAGATCAAGCACGAAGAGCAAGAAGTTTCATCTGTTAAGGTGGGATAGAGTCTACACACCCAAGCATGAAAGTGGATTGGGTATACGGAAAGTTATGAAGTCTAACCAGACATTGCTTTGTAAATGGTGGTGGTGGAGTTTACACCTGAAAAATCATCTATGGTATCAAGTTTTATGGTCAAAATATGGGACGGACAGGCATAACTTGTGGATTGGGGGTGGTAGAGCGAACGAGGTGTCTTTTATGTGGCGGATTATTTTCAATTGCAGGACCATGGCCTTGGGTTACTTTAGATCGAATTTAGGGAGTGGCAATCAAATTCTGTTTTGGCATCAAAAATAGCTTGGGGAATATCCATTGAAGTCTGTTTTCCCTTATTTTTTTTAGGGTTGTTGCCTTTCCTTATCATAAAGTTAGTGATGTAGTTGAAAAAAGAGGCCAACAGTTTGTGTGGGACTTACCCCTCTTGTATAGAAGGTTAAATAATGTCATGCTATCCCAATGATGCGCACTGATGGAACTCTTGGATAAAGTCTATATTTCTCAGGGGGCAGAGGATATTTTGATATGGGAGATTGAAAGGGATGGAATATTTTCAGTTAAATCTTGCTATAATCTCCTCTTTCACGACCAATGGAGATGGTCGTCAAAATTGCGCAAATTTGAAAGTGGCCAATACCACATAAAGTGCAAGTCTTCATTTGGCTAGCTGTGCAAGGTAAAATCTTAACAATTGACAATTTGCAAAAAACGGGAAAAAATTCTTCCCAATGTTTGCCTGCTATGCAAATTGGATGGTGAGTCAATTGACCATCTGTTGATCCACTCCCATATACGTTGAAGGTATGGCTTTGGCTAATTAATGAAGCTGGTTTTTTTTTATCGCTGCCCCAGAAAGTGGTTGAGATTATATCACAATTTAGTATTCCTTGTTTACCTAAGGTTGGAAGCACGATTTGGAAGATTGCAAAGGTATGACTCTTTGGGAAGTTTGGAAGGAGAGAAACAGAAGGACTTTTGAGGGTATGGCATTGCCTCTAGATAAGCTTATCCATCTAATTAAGCTATCTATCTAGTCATCTCTATCGGTGGATAAGAATAGGTGGGGCATAACTAAGGTTGATGTTATGATCAATTTAACCAACCTGTTTTCTCTGGGTTTTAAACCCAGTAGGCCTAAAAGTTTGTGGTATGCCCCGCCTATTGGTAGCTTTAAGTTAAACTTTGATGGTAGTTAGATGGGGAATCCCGGGCCAGCAAGCATTGGGGGGGGGGGGGGGGGCGGTTGTTAGAGATTGCTTTGGAAATGTTTTGCTTACTTATGGTAGCCCAATTGGTGTTGCTACAGGAAATTGTGCGGAGCTTTCGACGCTTTAAGGGGTATCAAAATCTTCGTTGGGAAGAATCTAGGCACTATTTGTCTAATAGAAGGGGATTCACTTAATGTCATCAGATGGTGTAAGAAGGAGCAGAGGGTACCGTAGGAATTGCGATCTTTATGATTGCAAATTTTGGATGTGGTGGCCAACCTATCAGTCTCCTTCTCCCATATTTATCATGAAGCAAATGACGTTGCGGATGCCTTGGCCAAAAGGGGTGTCTCTCTTTCTTCTCTTACTGTTTCTAATGATGTAAGTTCCTTTTAGTCTATTAATGAAATAGTTGAATCTTGGTCGAAAAAAAAAAAACGGTTGTTTTGATGCCCAAATATCCCCAAATTGATCATCTCGACATCAAGATGCATGGACATGAGAAAAAAATGGATTTCAAATTTTGGAAATAGTGCATTTTGTAATGTAATTTTAGACCGTCAATTTTTAAGATTTTCAAGTTTTCATTGATCGGCTCGATCTACACTATTTTTTAATCTTTAAACCTCATAAATAAACATGAAAATATATTTAAAGGCTATCATAAAGATTTTCAGTATTGAAACCACACTTCTCGATACTATTTGAATGTAGGCTCTAATTTGATTGCTCAGAGCCTAGACTTTATACAAACCGCTCCCTTTAAAAAATTTCATAAATTTTTTAATTTTTAGAGGCATGTTCTTTTTTCCTTTTTCTATTTTTCCCTAATGCCTTTAGTTTGCAATGCAAAGCTCCAAACCTACTTTGTCTGCCGTTGCATATCCATTTGTTTAGGACTATAACTTCCGAGCAAATTTTAGCTTGAAAGTTATGTTTGGAACTTAGAGTTTGGAACAGATTTTAGTAAAAACTTTGCTCAACCTCTAAGTAGTTAACATAAAGTTTAAATAGTAAACAACTTGTGTTTGGAACTTAGAGTTGAAGCATAATTTTTTTAAAAAATACTTATATTCTGAACTTTGAGTTTTCGAGCACAAAATTTTGAAAAGAAACGTATGTTCAAAACTTAGAGCTGTGAATAAAAAAATTTAAACAAAAACATGGTTAAATTCTACGTTTGGAATATTTTAGGACCAATTGAATTGGGGATAAGCTAATGAGACAATGGTCATGAGCTTCCTTGGGACGGTTTGAGAAGGTGGTTAGGGTGAGCCAAGTGGAGTGCCTTAGTATAGTTAAAAATCCAGGATTGAGGCGCTTATTTCTCCTTTAATGATTTTCCCTTGAATTCAAACCATGTT